ATATACTTATATCATTTCACCCTTCCATTCTCTCCTTTCAAACCCTCTCAAATACCCATCTCGTTCTCTTTTAAATTCATATCCTCTTTCTGCATTAATTGTTGTTACAAATATGGTGTGTGTGCATGTGCATGCACACACAGTTATTTGTATAGCACCCTGATTTAGGACAAAATTCTATTGTCATGCAATTGTCATGTCACACTGACAGGGAAACAGACCTTCCAGGTAATTAGGCCCTAAACATGGAGGCCTGATAAGAACCTACCAAGCAGCTTCCCTGCATCCAAGGATTGCAGGCAGCCTGAACTGTTACATCTCACTGTCAAACATTAACCTAGTCCCCTTCCTCCGCCCAAAGGAAGAATGGTTCCTGCCACCCAGCAGAAGTCCTCCATAATGCCCTGCTCCTCGACCTCTTCCAAGTAGTGTGGGTCACACATTAACTGGGCCCACACAGAGGAAATATGACCATATAAGTCAGGGATTAACTCAGCCTCCTTTCTCACCTATGAAAGCCCTCCCCTGCCTTGATAACCCTAAAAGAAGGCACCTTATTTGTCTCCTGGGCCCTCAGTCGGGGCTCCTCTGTGTGGCTGCAGATGTTAATAAGACTCTTACCTGGAGGACAATTCCCTTAGTACCTCACCTCTCTGGAATCTCCTCTTTTTCCTCCCTAAAACCCAACCAAAGTAACTTATGAATGAAAGGGCCCTGCCTGAATTAATTTATATCAATTATTTCCACAGTGACAGGCTTTCCATTGGTTCCTTATTTACTCTTCATCAGCCATTGGGCTTTACTCAAAAGCTCTTAGATTTTGGTGTGAATCTATTTGGACTTACCAATTTATCAAGTATGGGAATATGTACATTTTTTTAAGTGCTAAGCAATTTCTTTACAAATTGCAATAATAAAAACAAGTCAAATACTTAATTAATTTGAGAATTATTGGCTATGTGGAGCTGTCACCAAGAAGATGGGCTGTGTCTCTGTATATGTCTCACTCACCCCCCCCCAACACACAACAGTTGCACAAAAGGGAGCTGTTCAGTTATATAAAGGTCCTCATGTCCTTCCTCTTGGAAATCTTTACTTCCTTCTTGCCTTAGGGGTATGTTTTATGGTTTAGACTAAATCCCAAGGAAATGGAGAATTTTATTTAAAATACAACAGAATTTAATACAAAACCAGAAGGTGTTAGTGGAATTGAGGTCCCGACTGCTCTCCTCTTGAAGGTTAATATAGAGTCCAGAGTTTCTGGGAAAGAAACTGGCTTATTGCAAAGTTGGCCTCGAAGAAGATGGAGGAGTTAGCTCCTCAAAGCTCTATTTTCAGGGTTTTAGGGGTTCCGGCGGCTTGTCTAGAGAGGGAAAGGAAAAGGCCAGAGAAGCCATCTACTGAAAGGAGGTCTTTGTCATCTACAGTATGTCTTTTTCCTTCTTCAAAACATTCTAATGGATGTTCATAGAATCAAAGCCCAGGGTGTGAAAAGTTTCTGCACCTGATAGGCCTCTCTGCCGATGCAGCAATCCAAATCAGACCAAATCAAATGAATTAGAAAAAGCCCAAGTTTAATGGGTAAAATGTTCCCAGGTGAATCTCCCCCCACCCTCCCCACCCCCAGAAAGGAAACAGGAAAGAGAGACGAAAAAAAAAAACAAACCAAAAAACCACGTGTCTGTTCTCTGGAGTACAGTTTAAATACCCTGTGGGTGTGGTCTTGAGTATCTCTGGGGGAAGAACTGTGTTTGGCAAGACTTTTCTGAGAGGCAGGGTCTGGGCAGAGAGGTGGGCTTCCAACAGAATATTCCAGACTCCTTGGGTATATGGATGCCAGGGTGCCAGGGGCTGAGGTGGAGCTTCCACCAGTACAGGGAGTGGAGAGCATTACATTGATCCTGAGATGTCCTGGGTCCTATAAAGCTAAGGAAAGTTTTATCAATTAATATCATAGCCATTCATTTCTTTAGAATACAAAGTGAAGGGCAAGAGGGAGGAGATCTCCACTTTACAGAGGGATAAGGACTGAGAAGGAAAGAGAAGAGGAAGTGAAAGTAGCTGCCAAGGTTAGCTAATGAGGAAATGGATGAGGCTGAGCAGCAAAGACTTCTTTAATATGGAAAATGTTTAATTACAAAGTAAGTGATTTCCAAGCAGATCCCATCAGCCAGTCCCTGGAAGTATCACACATAGAAATTTCAGGACGTTTTAAAGGACAAGAGTTAAGGCAAAAATCATAAACCAAGTTTACTTCTTTCCCATGAAAACATTTTATCCCAAGGGCTTTTGATCCGTTCCTTCAGGGACTGCGGAGTTCTGTCCATTCACAGGCCTGAGTCTGTAAAGCCATAAAGTCTCTGACCATGACCGTGTCCCCAGACAATCTGAGCTGCAAGCGTCACATAGGTTCAGCTCCTGGCACAAGATGGCACAATCCTTGCACCTCCAGTCGAGTCCTCAGGTTTGAGACCCTGTTGGAAAAGCCTCCGCTGTCACATGTGGAAAGTTGAGCAGAGTAACAAAGAACGCCTCTGAAAGCCTAATTTAATTATTTATCAGCACTGTCAGTACTGTGTCTGGCAAGATAGTGTTTGAAATTAATACACTATTTGAGTAGACTGATTGAGTGCTCCTACCGCTGAAGAGTTTAACATTCACTGGCTATACAGACTGGTCATTAGTCCTTTACTTTATCAGTAAGCAAAGAATAAACAGAAATTGCAATAAAAATTCATCACAGTGAATGGGTATCTAAGCAACTGTGATAACTGGCCGTGTACTGGATTAACTGCTGGAACATCGGCAGCAGGAAAGATCTCTTTTAGAAAAGATTTAAATATCCTCTAGTTAATGTTTACCTTATAATTGGACTCCTTTAAACTAAATCGGGTTATACAGAGAATCTCTTCATATCCAGTATAAGAAAGCACTAACAGTTGTTTTACGCCATTTTTGTGTGGTATTCTTTAACTACTGGTTGTAGGAAGGACTGAGGCTTTAAGAATGTGATGTGATATGTTCCAGGTGAGACTGTCTTCCTACCACTAAGAATGAGGGCAGCGTGGCCTGTTTCTCAGCCAGACAGTTGAGATGATCTGACTTGTAATGGGAAAACTCTGGCTTGTGAAAGGAATTGCCCCCTCCTTACCTATCAGATCATGATTTGTTTTTAAGAGTAAATTGGAAGGAATGGTAAGAAGGAGATAGCCAAGGAGGAGGCGAGGAGCTTATGAGCCATTCTGTACACAGTATGAATTAGTTCCCAAATATTGACTACTTTCCTGGGAACTTACAATTATTTCACATTTCATCCCAAAAATGGTTTTGAAAAGATCCGTAGAGCTGTATCTATTTTATAGGTGAGGGTATTGATGCTCGGAAAGCTTAACTAACTTGTACAAGGGAACGGAGCTAGTGAGAAGAATCAGGCCATCAACTTAGTCTGCTGTCTCTAGAGTCATAGTCAACTGCCTCCTCAGCATAAACATAGGAGGAACTGCGCATGCTCCTTGTGGTCTTATGGTAGGGGAAGCTATCAGGGCCCACGGTGCATTCCTCGCTTTCCTTGGCTCCACAATGTTACCGCGTAGCCGGATAACAAGTGAGGATGCCGAAGGAGCCCGTTTAACTGCTACATCCAAGGATGCATTAAGTTTTATATAAATAGCAGTGAAATATCCAGGAGAATATGGAGTCCTCATGGAGACAGGCAGAGAGCCGCATAAGGGCGTCTGGGCTACGGCATTCCTGTGGGTCAGGAAAGTCTTTAGATAGTTATCACGTGCAGCTGGAAGATTTTACCGCATAGGTGGGACCAATAGTGATGGTTAACGAAAGTCAAAGCGAAGTCTCTCTCACAAAGGAAGAAGAAAGGGATCGAGGAAACAATGACTCAGGAGCTGCCCTTGGAAAACTCAGGAAGATGTGGGCGTTGCCCATCTTGGGTCTAAGAGGAGGCAGAGACTAGTTCTCATGGCAGTGCCCAGAAAAGAAAGAAAGAGCAAGGGGTGTACTCTGTTCTAGGTTCCCAGGTAAATGGGACTTTCAGTGGAGAACCCAGAAACTGAGGCCAGAAGGTTGCGATGCACAGCTGCAGACGGCATTCTGTTACAGACTCAGGAAGTGAACGAGTCCGAGAATAAATGTACCCTAAGCAACTTCCTGGACTCCTCTCTTTAACCTGCATATAGCAGACAATTTTTAGCTGTTTTAGTTACTTCCAAATAACACTACTAACTAAGATATTTCACTTAAATAACCTCAGGGGGACTTCTTTTGGTTCATCGTTTCCAAGGGTTGCATTCATGGCTACTTGACCCCATGTCTTTGGGCATGTGGCACGGGATTGTTGTTTGCTCTGCTGTGAAGACATAGCAGAGAAAGGAGCAAGGACAAGAGCCCCCCAAGGACCCACTTCAAGGGACACATTTCTTCCAGTTCAATCTTACCCACAAAGATCTCCAGAAGCTCCCGAAGTAGTGCCAATCAGGTGGGCACCACACTTTCAAAACATGAGCCTATGTGACACATTTCATATTCAAGCCACAATAATCAACCTGAACTAAGATTTCAAATATAGTACAATCAACAGGAAATGGTTAAATCCATAAATGACCATGTGATCGTGGAATACTGATCTCACATTTGAATGTGCGTTCATGCCTCCGTGACAGTCATTATTGATAGAAAAACTGTCCCCAAAGTGTTTGGCTATTATTTCAAGGAGGAGCAGAATTACTGAAGTTGCTACTTCCAACCTGTATTTCAGTTTCATTTTCTAACTTCCAAGAGATTATAATAGATCAAAGTCCCCTACTTACATTCTCTAATTCTCTCTCTCTCTCTCTCTCTCTCTCTCTCTCTCTCTCTCTCTCTCTCTCTCTCTCCCTCTCTCTCTCTCTCTCTCTCTCTCTCTCTCTCTCTCTCTCTCTCTCTCTCTCTCTCTCCCCCCCTACCCCTCTCTCTCCCCACTCCGCTCTCTCCTCCCTTCAACACAGGAGACTTTGAATGTGATCGATCCTGGCTTGATGGACCTGAATGGAATGAGTGAAGACGCCCTAGAATGGGATGAAACAGATATAAGTAATAAGCTAATTAGTCTGCACGAAGAATCAAATGACCTTGATCAAGACCCAGAGCCTATCATACCCTCCCTGAAGCTTGAAGAGACACACCACCAGGACCCTGGCTATGAGGATGAGGCAGGTGACTGTGGGGGGGTCCCAGTATACCTCAAACATCACTGCACCTTCCAGCCCACACATTTACCAAGTGTACAGTCTTCACAACGTTGCGCTCCACAAGGACAGCCACACTCCGTTTCTGAAAAGCAGCCCAAAGCTTACAGGCACAGCACAGCCTGGCGTTTTAACTAAGAGCCTCAGTAAAGATTCTTCATTTTCATCCACAAAATCCTTGCCAGATCTTTTAGGGGGCTCCAGTTTGGGGAGGCCTTGCCCGTGTCACAGTGGAGACGTGAGCCAGAATTCAGGCAGTGAGAGTGGAATTGTCAGTGAAGGAGACAACGAAATGCCTACCAGCTCTGAAATGTGTTTGTTCGGTATGGTAGATGGGTCCCCAAGTAACCCTGAAACTGAACATCTGGACCCACAAATGGGAGATGCAGTCAACGTGTTAAAGCAAAAATTTAAAGATGAGGAGGAATGCATTATGCTTCCAAATATCTCTCAGTCATCCATTTCACCAGTGGGTTGTGTAAATGGAAAAGCTGGAGATTTAAACAGTGTTACCAAACACACCACTGATTGTTTAGGAGAAGAATTACAAGGAAAACATGATGTGTTTACATTTTATGATTACTCATACCTCCAAGGCTCAAAACTCAAATTACCAATGATAATGAAACAGTCACAAAGTGAAAAGGCACATGTGGAGGACCCTCTTCTCTGTGGTTTTTATTTTGATAAAAAATCCTGCAAACCTAAACATCAGGCTTCGGAGTTACAACCAGATGCGCCTCCCCATGAAAGGATATTGGCAAGTGCACCCCATGAAATGGGTCGTAGCTCTTATAAAAGCAGTGACAAAGAGAAGACATTCACAGGCATTCAGAATGCCAGACAGCTCTCCCTTTTATCTCGTAGCTCATCTACAGAGTCCCTTCCTCCAGGGGGTGATTTGTTTGGGTTAGGTATCTTTAAAAATGGCAGTGACAGTCTCCAGCGAAGCACTTCTTTAGAAAGTTGGTTGACATCCTATAAGAGCAATGAAGATCTCTTTAGCTGTCACAGCTCTGGGGACATAAGTGTGAGCAGCGGCTCAGTTGGTGAGCTGAGTAAGAGGACATTAGACCTCCTGAATCGTCTAGAGAATATCCAGAGCCCCTCGGAGCAAAAGATAAAGCGAAGTGTTTCTGATATCACTCTCCAAAGCAGTTCCCAAAGGATGTCCTTTACTGGCCAGATGTCGTTGGATGTCGCTTCTTCTATCAATGAAGATTCACCAGCATCTCTTACAGAACTGAGTAGCAGTGATGAGCTTTCTCTTTGTTCAGAAGATATTGTGTTACACAAAAACAAGATCCCAGAATCAAATGCATCATTCAGGAAGCGCCTGAACCGCTCGGTGGCCGATGAAAGTGACGTCAACGTTAGTATGATTGTTAACGTCTCGTGCACCTCTGCTTGTACTGATGATGAGGACGACAGTGACCTCCTCTCCAGCTCCACTCTCACCTTGACTGAAGAAGAGCTACGCCTCAAAGATGAGGACGATGATTCCAGTATTGCAACAGATGATGAAATCTATGAAGAAAGCCATCTGATGTCCGGGCTGGACTACATAAAGAATGAACTACAGACCTGGATAAGACCGAAATTTTCCTTGACAAGAGAAAAGAAACGGTGCAGTGTCACTGATGAAATGAAGGGTAATAAAGACGGAGGCCAAAGTGAGAAGATCAACCCCTCAGACACCCTGAATATCGAGGCCCTTCTAAATGGCTCCATAAAATGTCTCTCTGAAAACAATGGAAATGGGAAGAATTCACCCAGAACTCATGACTTAGGAACAGAAGGTGAAAACAAGAAAAATACTTATGAAGTTAGTAAAGATCCACGTGTGGCTGACATGGAAAATGGCAATATTGAAAGTACTCCAGAAAGACAAAAGGAGAAGCCGAATGGAATTTCAGAGGCATCAGGGAACCTCGGTTTAAATGTAGAAAAGAGTTCCGAATCCAAGCACAGTGAGTGTAAAGCACTGACAGACAGTTTAGATGATTCAAATGTTGCTGGAAAGGAATTTGGCCCCCCAGATGATAGATGTCTTCCACAGATAGGTCCAAACCTCCACCATTCTGAAAATCCAAGTAGCCCCCGCACGCCCGTTGAGAACACTTGCCCAGAACTGTTGTTGGAAACCAGGGTTGGAAGCAGACAAGACAGCGGTGGACTAAAATCTTCATCTGATGATGCACCAGGTGGGGCTAGGAAACCTGCTGGTTGCTGTCTCCTCGAACCGAATGAGACGGAGGAAAGCGCTTCTCTCAGCAACAGCACTTCCTGTTGCAACTGCCAGCCAGATGTTTCCCATCAAAAGGATGCTGAAGATGGTTCAGTACATGACTTTGTTAAGGAAATCATTGACATGGCATCAACGGCCCTCAAAAGTAAATCACAACCCGAAAGTGAGGTGGCTGCTCCCACTTCGTTAACTCAAATCAAGGAGAAAGTCCTAGAACATTCTCATCGGCCCATGCACCTGAGAAAGGGGGACTTTTATTCCTACTTATCACTGTCATCCCATGACAGTGACTGTGGGGAGGTCACCGATTACATAGATGAGAAGAGCAGCACCCCATTGCCACCAGACACCGTGGACTTTAGTTTAGATGACAAGGAAGACATCGAATGTTTCTTTGAAGCTTGTGTTGAGGATGAACTTGTTGACGAGAAAGCCTGTGTCTCTAGTGCCCTTCCAACCGAATCAGCAGTTCTGGATGAAGCTGCTACGCCAGTACCAGGGACAGCAAGCTCTCCTGTGCTCAATGAGGTTGCTTTCTCACACGATGAGACAGATAGGGTGGCTCCTTCAGGACCTTCCCCTCAGAAAGGAGCTGACAATGGAAAGGAAGTAGATGATGCGTCCCAAGCATCCCAGGGCTGTGCAGAAAGCTCAGACCTTACCACTCCTTCAGGACAGACCAGTAAAGATGGAAGTTCAAGAAACCAAGGCGAATCAGGAAAGCCGGAAGAAAATAATGCTACTTCAACTAAATCGAAAAGTCCAGCTCTCCCATTGAATGCAAAACAGCCAAAAGCCAAGGCAATGCTCTATCCCAGCCCGCAAACTTTAACCTGTAAAGAAAAGCTTGTAAGCTTTCATGAAGATCGACATAGAAACATGCGTAGGTAGAATGTAATGCCCCCAAGCATGGAAATCATCTCATTGAAAGGTATGTATGAGTACGTATGAGTATGTGTGTGTCTGCATGTGTGTGCGTGTGTGTGTGTGTGTGTGTGTGTGTGTGTGTGTGTGTGTGTGTGAGAGAGAGAGAGAGAGAGAGAGAGAGAGAGAGAGAGAGAGAGAGAGAGAGAGAGAGAGTGAGTTTGCATTAATAGAACCACTACAGAAGACTAGTCAGAATGGCCAGTCACAACATATACATATCTGAATAAGACATTTAAGTAGAAACATTTGCAACAGTGAAAAGCAAAAGGGGAAAACTGGTGAGAATTTGACATTTAAAGGACATTCATTTTATCATTTTGTCAAGAGCGATACAGTATCTGTGGAAACAGCTGATCCATGTTTAGGGCTTTGAACTCTTCAACTGGGGGAGAAAAATACTATCCAAGTTGCAGTCATACTTGATCATCCTGAGATCAAAATGCATGCTCAGGAGCTGCATTCCTTACTTGAGCTCCTACTTGGAACTGCCTGGGGAATGAACAAGGGCTGGGCTAAAGGCTGTGTCTCCAGACCTGGGCTTTCTCTTTATGCTTCAACCCAACATAACTATCATCACACTCATTTTCCTGGTACAGACTGTATTGTCACAGCTCCTAATCATGGCCATGCCTGAGAATTCCAACAGGAGGAGGAAGCAGATGCAGGAGAGCCCCTTACTTGAACACACACAGATTGGGAACCAATACAGAACACAAATGCTGGGAAAGTACATGACACCTTAATGGTGTCTTGATAAAAACAGAATTTTTGAAGTTTGCCTGAAGGTGACAGGCTGATTGCCATCAATTTTTTTTATAAGAACGTCATCCTACTTTTCATATTTAATAAGACAGCTATTGATTGATAATTCTGAGATGGGAAGATAGCTCTAAAAGTAACACAAAGATTCTGTTATTTCCCATTTCTAAGCCTCAGTGATGAATGTACTTCCTCGATGAAGTTTAAGGAGAAATTTAGCTTTCAGATATGAGAGTTGTATGTCACCAAAGTATGAGGTGCCTAGCGTCACCTCCACCCCCACCGCAGAAGCCTAATGCGTAACCTAAACTCGTGCTATAGGAAATGAATTACAGAAGCAATCTACCCTAATTTGTTAACTTATTCAAATAACAGTTATTATACTTAACTATGCTAAAGATTATCTTTTTTGTGGCAGATTGTTTATTTTTTGATGAGCCTAATTACTGATTTTCTAAAAGTAATTTACATTTATTACAAATACATCTTTTAAAATGTGACAGATAAATGTTGTTCCCATAATGTATTATGAAAAAAGTTACTATTTAAGAACACATTATTTAATTTGAAAGATGAATGGCAAACATCATTATTTTTTTTTTCCTGCAACACCTGTGCCCTAAGCTCATTAAAATGTGTGATTCTGTGTAGAGCTGCTAGAATGGGGAGCGACGGGGGCAATCTATACCATACATATACCCTAAAAATAAACTCAGTATGCAAAACTGAAGAAAGCCATCCTACTTACTAATGTAGCTTCACTAATTTTCTATTTCAGACCCTATTTACAGTTGGCTGAGAGCAAGGACAAAAGTGGGAAAGAGAGAGATGTGTTTTCTGTGAGTCGTGCCCACCCTGTAATCACATCCTCCATCAGCATGCAGTAAAACTGACCATTAAGGGAGAGTAGCTGGGATTCCAGAAGCTGCCTCAGAGCCAGCTCTGTTAGGACTGATTGGATGCAGGCTCTGCCCACCTCCCCAGAAGGCCAGCGAGAGCCTGGCTGATTTTGTTTTCTGAGAGGCAATAAAGGCTTGAAAGCAACAGCACTCTGAGGATGCCACCCTGTGACTGCGACCCGAGTCACCAGTCAGGCTGAGATGTGGAGCAGAGAAAGCTCTGGCCCTGGAGAAGCCTCAGGAATGCCTACTCCCTGTTTCATCCTCTGGGAGACTCTTCCCCTCACATAGAGAAATGGAATTGAGATGAAATGTAAATGATGAGCAATTTTTTTTTTTTTTTTTGACTTTGAGGGAAGCGAATGGACCTCTGTAATCCTCACGTTTTACAAGCGTAGACAGCGTAAAACTGCTAGCGGCTTGTGTGGCCATTGGCAGGGTTCTATTGCACCCCACACTGGGCGCTGTGGTGGGCAAAGGGAGAAGCAGGCAGATTTTACTTCTGCAGAACTGACATCGCCCCCAAGTGACTCGTTATCAGCCCAGAGCTATGTCAACAGCCATATGTTGCTTCTATCCACGTTTGAGGGTGTGTGTGCACGTGTGTGTGTGCACATGTGAGTACATGCATGTCTGTGTGTGTTGCAATATCATGTTAATGAAACACCTTGGTGCCTGGTTTTGGGGGGCTAGTTACAAGCATTGAATGTAAACTTTCACATATGGTCAGAGTACTGTCACCTGAGAATTTAGCCAATCTGAAAATGCTGCTAAGCGTTCAGCACTTGGTGTTAGGACGTGTAGTTATGGTACTGGTGAATAGGACACGTCACATTTATTTGTTGTCATTGTGCTTTTTATAAGGTCCAAAACAGCAAAAGCTTTTCTTTCTAAAAGCCATTTGAGGACCATTCGATGGGACCTTCTTTGTATCAGGACAGCACAATTCACCAAGCCCAATTTGCCAGAGCTCTTTTCCCAGAAATAAATTCTCAGATGATGAAATGATTGCAATTCCATCCAAAAGTGTTTATGACTTAGAACCATGCATATAGTCTGCAACCAGAACAAATTCTTTTCGAAGAGTTCTGAAAATTATTTCATTTACTATGTTCAAATTAAAAACCTCTGAACCCATTTGAGAAGCTTTAGTGTGGCCTAACAGTTGTGTGCGTGTGCACTTATTTCCAGACACACTGCTGGGCTTTTCACTGGATCCATTTGTGCATCGTATTTCTGTAAAAATAGAGAGGTCAGTTAGAGCAAATCACATCAAAGGCAAGGTAACTGCATAGACACAGCTCTTTCTGCCTAATTTGGAGGAAGCACACAGCGTATGTCTGGAATGCCTCCTAGGACCTGCCTAAGAGATGTACTTTGCACTAATCTTTTTGCTGTATTCTGACAGTTATTTCTTCATAATCCTCATCATAAGCCTGTGATCTTTGATGAATGGTTTAACCCTAAATTTCAGGCTGGATAAATCCTGCCGCATGAAAAGTTAACTCCTCCTGTGCAGCCAGTGTGTTCTTTCATGTCTTCTCCTTCAGGTTTTCTGATGGTTTGATGTGTATGTGTGTGTGTGTGTGTGTGTGTGTGTGTGTGTGTGTGTGTGTGTGTGTGTGTATGTGTGTTTGTGTATGTGTGTGTGGTGTGTGTGTGTTTGTGTATATGTGTGTGTGATGTGTGTGTATGTGTATGTGTGGTGTGTGTGTGTTTGTGTGCATGTGTGGTGTGTGGTGTGTGTGTGTGTGTTTGTGTATATGTGTGGTGTGTGTGTATGTATGTGTGTATGTGTGTGGTGTGTGTGTGTGTTTGTGTGCATGTGTGGTGTGGTGTGGTGTGGTATTGTATGGTGTGTGTGTGTGTTTGTGTGCATGTGTGGTGTGTGTGTGTTTGTGTATATGTGTGGTGTGTGTGTATGTATGTGTGTATGTGTGTGGTGTGTGTTTGTGTGCATGTGTGGTATGGTGTGGTGTGGTATTGTGTGGTGTGTGTGTGTGTTTGTGTGCATGTGTGGTGTGTGTGTGTTTGTGTATATGTGTGGTGTGTGTGTATGTATGTGTGTGGTGTGTGTGTGTGTTTGTGTGCATGTGTAGTGTGGTGTGGTGGGTGTGGGTGGGTGGGTGGGTGGGTGTGGGTGGCAGGAGGAGGGTGTTTATTACTTCTTTTGGTCTCAGTTTCATGGTCTGGTCTACTTTATCAGTCTGCAAGTGTGGTGGTGGCCTCAGAGCTTTAGATTTTAGATGACTGTTGATGTTGATGCATGTGTGTACAGGTTTGCACACGAACCGTTTAAAGTGCTGTTTTGCTTTTATAAACCGAGAGAGTGGTAGGAGCAAACACTTCTCATCACACACAGCATCTCATTCTCCTACTGGACTGGCACTGTTTGGGGCTTCCCAAGGCTGGCCAAACAGCTTTAGGAAACTACATTGGGAGCATGTATATTATTATTTCACTAGACACTACACATATAGTCTTGTAAAACTTACCTTTAAATCACCTTACTAAACCAAGGCTCTTCTGGATGTGATTTGAATTATCTGGGACTTCTGAATAACTTCCCATGCTAAATAAAAAAGTTTTTATTGAATAAAGTCAGCCCCCCCCCTCTCTCTCTCTCTCACACACACACACACACACACACACACACACACACACACACACACACACACACGAGGATGGATTTGGCCTTGAGCCCATTTGGCCTGCCTGTTCCCAAGTGTGCCAAGTTGAAAGAATTGATTACCCACAGGGAATTGAATTGCCAGCTCTTTACTGAGACAGGATTTGCTTCACCGAGGATTCCCTGCTCAGTGGCAGATTTCTGATGAGTCACATCCTCAGCATTTGAGCAATGCTGCACTGTGCTTTCTTGAATTACTGCATTATTTTACTGTACCAAATTCTGTTCCATCTGCCTCTGTCTGTCTCCCCATTCCCGCTCGCTTCCCCTCTCTTCTCAACATCCTGTTTGGCTGTAGTGGGACTACAGTTGGAAGACTTTTCTGACTCCTACACACAATTGTAAGTTTATAGAAAGAGACAGAAAGACACAGAAGAATATTTGCTTCTAAGAGGTCAGGACAAAACCTGCTATAACACTTGAGCATTTAGATTACACCCAGGCAGGCGGAGACCTGCTTTCTTTGAGAGCCGGTCTGACAACCTAAAGTAATTGTATACTGGAATTTAGATGTTTCTCCGATTTGACCAGGTGTTATAGCCATTTAGAAATAAGTAGGCCAGAATGAGCTTGGAACACATTTGTATCAATCATCACACATAAAAAGAGAATTGAATCAGTTTAGTCTCCACAATGTTTCCTGTACCTAACAATGAAACACAGTAACATTTGAGCTGTAAATTCTAATTATACCCATTTGTAGGCATGGATCTAAAGCATTCAAGATTATCACAATTTTGTGAGTGTTTCATCACTGCATAATAGAATTGTTCAACATCACATAGAAATTACTGAAGGGAGTGCTAGCCTGAGAGCCAGGAACCCAGGCTGTGAATTGCTGTCCGTACATCGTCACATCCCTTGGTATTAACCGCCTGACATTTTCATACAGATTTGGAACTCTCTTGATAAAACTGAGCTCGCCCACAGAAGAATGAATGAGTTGATGACCCAGAGAAAAGATGATCATACTTGATTTTTTGAAACCGTATAAATGTCTGAAAGTATCTGGATGTCTTAGTGAACTGAAATGATTTGGTTCGGTTTGGTTTGGTATGTAGTTTGAGCCTTGAGCTAGTGGACAGTCACATCTCCTAACCTCTCATTTCAGATCTTTAGTAGCTGACCCCGCACGGCAGCTTCCTGAGAGGACTTCGTTCTGCAGATGATGGAGACACTTCTGAAACCTTTTCCTGTCATCTTTTTGTTTCCTGTAGATAGCCTGGCTGCAGCTCAGGGCTGGCCTGATCCACCCTGGGCTGGTCTTGGGTCCCATCACTGCCGCCTGTCACATTGACTTTCTGAAGATGAACCTTCCCTCTGAGCGCGGTCTGTCCACGTGGGCCTTGTGAACTGGATGTGTGCATTGCTTCTCTTTAGGTGATCTCTTATTTCCACAAAGCTGCTTGCTCTCCCATGGATTCCTGTCCCAAGCTACCTCTGCCAGCCCTCTCTCTCCAGCAAGACTTCGTTTGCCTCTCCCCTCCTGCCTCCTCCTTAAGGCTCTGTAGTTCACCAAATCGATGGTCCATTAAACCCACTGGAATGGTACCCCTCCCTGCCAGTACTTGACCAATTGTATGTTTTGCTCTGAAAGTTTTCATGGTATTATACCTATGTTTCTTGAAAGAGATCTACCTAAAAAGCCAACCCTTGATTGGATTGTAGTATAGAGGAGACATATTGGTCCTTAGTACAAAATTAAGCGACATTTAAAAGCGCCATTTTCATTATTTCTTTTTAATAATAATAATCTATGCAGCACTTCAAGAAACAACTATAACAGTGTTGTATATTGTAAACTGGTACATTCTACTATTTAGTTTGTTTTTGGTTTCTATGCTTCTTGAGGTGGTAACGCGAAAAAACGTTTTTTAAAACAGTGTGCCTTGCTGTATTTCTTATACCATTAATTAAAAAGCTGCTTTCATGGTAATAGTATGTTGGTGTGAGAGGAGGAAATAGCAAGGTTAAGATGTGTGAATAATTTCTGTATATATGTATAAGCTAGTACAAACACTGATGTATGACAGTATAAAATGCTTTCATGTTCGTGATGTCAGTGATGTGGAGAATATAAGCCTTAAACCCATTTGATTGCATGATAATTAAAATTGGCATAATAAAATAGCTTATGGGGGGGAAGGAAAATTAACAATCTCTTCTACCTGTGTTCTTTACCAAATTCTTGCATCTGGTTCTGAAAAAAAAAAAAAAAAACATGTATCAGCTTCCAAAATATCCATATTGCACAAAAGGCTTACGTTGCTTAAACTCCAGACCAGGCCTGTAGCCTTCACAGCTTTCAGAGTCTTTCTGCTCACTTACAGTGAGCATCCTGAAATAGCGGGTGTTCAAAGGCCATTTCCCTACATCAAAACCACTTTATACTACATGCTTTTATTTATACTTGTTAATGATTTAAAGTTGTGTTTGGAGATCTCCTACATGTCCTAATTTATTTTAAATAATTATTTGAATGGGTTTGGTGGATGGTAAAAAGTATAGAAAAATGAGTATTATTTTATTTAAACTGTAGATTTCAGGTGTATTTATTTTGTTAAGAAAATCAGCAGAGAAATATTCCATTTGGTATTTTTTTTTTTTTTGGCTTGAAAAATGCAGCTTTTAGTTTATAGCATCCCTCCTACTAAAGTGCCTGACACAGTAGATATTCCACAGAATCTGCTGAATCAGAGTAGAGAGTGGGGTAACATGGGATATATGTATAAAATCCTTATTCTGAGATTCCTGCATTAAAACATATGACTAAATAAAGATATGCAAAGTGAAGCCACACACAGTATATAATTAGATTTCAAAAAGGAAAGAGAACATGACAGAAGTTTGTAGCCACAGAAATGACAATCATTCATTCACCAGATCACTCATCAGCATCTTTTGTCTGCAAGTCACTATTCTAGATTCAGGGAATGCAGCTATGAACGAACGATGGGCAGCCTTTGGAGGCTGACCTATGTTAGAGACAAAATGGCTGACCACACAGACGACACGCCATGGCGTCCTACAGGTGAGGGAGAATGCAAGTGTGGGGAAAGACTCACAATGAGAGAGACAGCAGCGAGGGAAAGGGGCAAAGAGAAAGGTTAGGAGAGAGTAGAGGGTAGAGGGTAGAATACCAGCAGGGGTTCACTAGGGTGTGATAAGGAAAAGGCCGAATGGAGAGGACTGAAAGGTGTTTACGGAGTTGAGTTGGAGCTTTGAGTACAGTGTACTAGGTGTACTTGTAGTTTATTGGGGGCTTTATTTTATTTTATTTTATGATTGGAACTTTACTAGCACCATCCCAAGAATACTTAAATATCACTTGTCTGTAATTTCACCGCCTTAATAATTTTGTGTGGGTTTTGCCCCTTATAACCTTTCCTGCACATATTTTTTAAATGGATGGTTCGTTCTAGGCTTTTGAATATGTAGTGACTTCTTCCAGAGGAGTCTTTGGGAGACATCTAGTTATAGTGTTGATGAGGATTGTGAGGGGAAGATGTTAGACATAAGCGTGTGGTAGAGGGGGAAGTGAGAGAAAATTAGCTAGACTCAAGGCAGTCATAGAATGCACAGGGAGAGTAGCCTGAGATACAGAGAAAGACAGACCCTAGAGACATGGAAATATTTGGACATCTTTGGACCTGTTTTAGGATATGGCACTATTTTATATATGGAGACAACCTGAATTTCTCTTGGTCAGTAATTAATATCAAGTCTGTGTTCACTGGGTAGACATTCAAAGAAATAACGGGCCATGGTGTGTTCTGTTGGCCTCCTATGTACTCATGAAGACTTAGGATTTGAAAATATTTATTAATTATCTACCTAACTTTAACACCAAATCTTTAGGTTGACTATTGGGTTCATTAATGCCTTTTCCAGTCAGAGGGATGGAGGCGCCTCAGTTTCTCATCCTGTGTAGATGCTACCTTCCCAGTTACCCTCAAAAACAGCCCATTTGGTGTGTATTAACTCAAACAACTCTATCTACACATGTCCCATGACAATGGCTTGTTATTTGGTAAAGCAAAGTGTCCCTCTGCTGGGCATGTGTTTCTGTTAGAATGTGCTTCCTTTGGTTGCTAATGTCCACAGGGTGCCCCTCCCCCACTCTGGGTTTTGCTCATTGGTCCTGTGTCTCCTGCAGAGCCAGCAGCCCAGAGGACCCCTTCTGTCCCATGGTCACCCTGCAGGTAATTGAGGACAGTTCCTCTCTCTCCTAAGCACTGTTCCTCCAACTGCCCTTAATATGTCCTGATTTCAGATCCATTTCAACCCGACTGAATGTTAACAGACGGAACCCTTGAAGTCAAGGGACTGTCTTCATCATACATGTAGAGAAGCGTCTGGACATTTAAGTGCTGAGTTTTCTCTAAAGTATATTCAAGATATATGTTTATTCTATTATTGTAAATTTCAATAAATAAACAAATAAACAAGTGAATCAAATAAGGATTCCTGACTTCCTTCAGTGGTCCAGCCTAGTGCTGGAGTCATCTCGAGTCTTTTCCTTATGCTGGAATCGAACCTGACATCTTCGTGGACAGCAGATTTGACCTTCCATCCCTTTGCTCACTTATCCGTTCCGGCATTCAAACATCCCTTGAGTAGTCGCTGGTGTGAGGTGTTGTGACCTCAGACATCCAAAGGTAACCCAACATGCTCTGTGTCTCCAACAGGTTACAGGTTTCCCTCTGCTCATATCCTTGAATACAACAATTATGACTCTTCTCCAAATGAATTTTCCCCAGACCCACTTATTTGCCTTGTATCTAGTCTCTCTACATTTTCAAAACTCAGATGAGCAAATTGATACATCTTATGGTCTGCTGGATTGAACTGTGAGAAGAAGTGAATCGGTTTTAATTTCAGAGGGAAAACGTATTTTTTTGGAGATATATATATATATTCATTCATATACACATTGTCTTTCCAATGTTTAGTTTGGTAATTTCAAACCTCTGGAAAAGCCAAGTGGTAGAAGAATAATGTCCTCATACTTGTTATTCAGCTACAATTACTGTTAATATTTGATATCTCTTTCTCTCCCTCTCCACATTACACTACATACAAGCACACCACATACAAGCACACCACACACAACACACACACACACACACACACACACACACACACTACCTTCTTGTATGATTGTACCATTTGAAATTTATTTCTGGAGTACAACACTTCATTTGTAAAGAGTTGAGCTGATGTGGCCAGGAACAAGGGCATTTTCTACAAGTCTATAATGCCATACACTATAACTTAATAATCCTTATTAAAATTTCCCCACTGTCAAGATGTGGTCTTTTTTGGCGCCTTTACCTTCAGTCTGGTGCCCCAACAGTGACCGCACAGGCCTTTTAGCTTGTGTCGTCTTGATCCCGAGTAGTTTTCCATACTCTTCATCCCTTCTTTGGTCCTCACCATATTGACATTTCTGAAGAGCTGAGATCAGTCTTATAGAATGATTCACAACTTGGAGAAGTCCAGTTATCTTCTCATTGTAAAGCTCAGGATGAACTGGCATTTACAGCTATAGCTTACAGGCAGTACTGTGCTCAGATCTTTGATGGAGTGTCAGAGGATCACTAACACTCTTGATTCACGTTTTTCTTTCATTTTCTAAGGCAGAGGTCGGCCAACTATGGCCCAGGGGCCTAATTCAACCCAGTGACTGTTTATGTTTGACCTGGGAGCAAAGAATGACTTTTATCTTTTTATGTGGCTGAAAAAATAAAAGAATGTTTTGTGATATGTGAAAATTCTATGAAATTCCAAGTTTTGTGTCAGTGAATAAAGTTTTATTGGAACACAGCCACTCACATTTGTTTACATATAGTTACTTTTTGCACTATAACTCCAGAGTTACTCAGACACAGCAGAAGTTGTATGATGAGGGTAGCTGAGATGTTTCCTATGTGACCCATTATAAACTCTCTTCTTATCCCTGGGCTGTAAAATTCTAAACTCTGATACCATTTTCTTAGAGGCAGGTAGACTACAACTTGTAAAGTCAATGGGACATAGAACATACAAGTTTTTCTTTCTAGATTTTATTACATTGTCAATTTCAGTTCCGTGAAGAGTGACTTATTCATTGACATTCTTAAGTCACAATATTCTATTATTTTCTAAGGCAAAGGTCAGCCAACTCTATGTAGCCCAGGAACCAAGTACATGTTTTCATTTGACTTACAATTTTAGAAGAATAAAATATACTTTGTTTCATGAACTAAAAGATTGTTCCACATCAGTAATTGAAGAATTTGAATTTGACTTAGAATTTAGTTAGTTACAGATTGGAAATTTAGTGCAATCAAAACCACCAGAAGGGGTTGGGGATTTAGCTCAGTGGTAAAGCACTTGCCTAGCAAGTGCAAGGCCCTGGGTTCGGTCCTCAGCTCTGGAAAAAACAAACAAACAAACAAACAAAAAACACCAGAAAAACTGGTGCAACCTAAACTCAATACACCAATAAGTTGAGATCTTTCCTCTAAGTATTTTCCTAAAGCAGTCCTAAGTATTAAGCCAGGTCATTTTAGTCTTTTTTAAAAATGTATATTTTTCGGCCCAAATACTAGCATATATGTATATATATAAAATTTTCATTCCTATGTCATATATAAAAATATGCATGTATGTGGTGGTATTGTGTTCCCCAAAATATTGTGCACCCTAATAAACTTATCTGAGGTCAGAGAACAGAACAGCCACAATATTAAACATAGAGGTTAGGCAGTGTTAGCACATGCCTTTAATCCTAGCATTCCAGAGGCAGAGATCTGTCTGGATTTCTGTGAGTTCAAAGCCACACTGGAAACAGCTAGGCGTGGTAACAAGAGCCTTTAATCCCAGGAAGTGATGGCAGGAAGCAGAAAGGTATTTAAAGTGTGAGGACCAGGAACTAGACTGGTTAAGCTTTTAGGCTTTTGAGCAGCAGTTCAGCTGAGATCCATTCAGATGAAGACTCAGAGGCTTCCAGTCTGAGGAAACAGGATCAGCTGAGGAATTTACGAGGTGAGGAAGCTGTGGCCTGTTCTGCTTCTCTGATCTTCCAGCTTTAACCCAATACCTGGTTTGGGTTTGTTTTTATTAATAAGACTCTTTAAGATTCATGCTACACATGTACTAAGGAAGTGGATATTCAGATGAGACCCTGCTGTGGTCACGGGTAGACACTGAGTGGAAGAGTCCAATGCAATCAATCCTGTACTTTCTCTATTGATTTGCTGCGGGCCACACTGTCACATGCATAGCCCGAGAACACCCAGGCAAGGCATGCAGATGCTTTTTTAAAAACAGCCACATGCTTCCCACACAGCAATTGCCTTTGCATCGGAGACTTGCCACAGGTATGCTATGCATAGATCAGGTCCACGTTAGTGAGGTTTCTTTAGCAAGAGGCGTGGTGACTAATGCCCGGAGACCATCCAAACTCTCCGTTAAGGGCTCCCACCTCAGCAGCAGGTATGCAGTTTGTTTACCCTTGTGCTTTGAAGGAAACCAGGACCTGCTGAATGCAACGCTCCTCAGCTTCTTTTCCAGGGCAGCGTGCATGCAGAACTTGGATGGTGTTCACACATGCGAGGTAGGTTTGGTCCACTGGGACTGTTAAAACAAAATGCTTTATTCCGGGAAATTTGTAAACAAGGGAATCTACAGCTAGACAATCTGGAAGGTCAGAAGGCCACAGTGAGGCCAACAGAAGATGCAGCGTCTGCTGAGGGCACGCTCGATGCTTCGTTGATGGGCCTTCTCATCGATTCCTCACAGGGAGGGGCAATGAACAAGCTTCCCCAGCCTTTTCTAAGGGCAGCTACCCCATTCACAACTTACCCTCCAAAGACTCATCTCTTAATGCTATTGCACTGAAGATTAGGTTTGAACATGGGAACTCAGGGATACAGACGTTGGGAACACAGTGCAGGCATTTGCAGACTTTTTGGCAATTGTCAATAAATAGTTTCCAGTGAAGAGGCTACTCTGCTCTCTTCTCCCCCACTCGAGAGAGGTGGCAACACAGTTGATGGGAGCGACATTGTTTTAAGGGTAGTTTAAAAACTAATTCATTCTCTAAAAACTCATTCCTAAAGGTGTGTATGTTATTCTTCATTAGCAACCTTGTAGCATCACATCTAAGACACACTAAATCAGAGGCGTTCAAAAAACCTGGGAAGGGTTCCCAGAGCACAAGAGAATCAGCCCTATACAAACCCTGTCTGAATAGCCCTGGTTTACCCACAACCATGAAGAATTTGAGCTGTGGGGAGTCGGACCTGAAGTGCGGGGTTGTACAGTGTGGACTCCATCACTTTGGGAAATGGCCGGTCCAGGCAACCGGCCCCGGGAACCTCACCCGGTGTGAACTGTGGAGTCAGAAGATGATGAAGACGTCCCAGGTGTGCACAGCCGCAGCATCTCACCATCTAAACTGCTGTGCTCATCAGCTCCCTACTGTGCTGTTTCCCTTCAATCATGTGGCGTGGGGAAGTTTGACTGGAAGCCTCAGGAATAAATTTGGAAATTTTTCCACATCATAAGGACATACAACAATACAGCTTATTAATGTAGTGCAAGTGAGTATAGGTATATGTCAGTATAAACCACGTAAAAATTATTAAAACTTTCCTTTGCATTTAATCTACCATTTAAAACAAAATACCACCTCCATAAACAAATGAGGTATTATAGATGTAAAGTATTATTTAGCAAAATTTATTCAAGGTCTTAAATGATTGCAAGCATTAAGAACATAAAAATGCTCAAAATCCTCTTTAAATCCCAATATTCCCTAACCACTGGTTTATAAAAAAAAAAAATCAGGTTTATAGAATTAGTCTGCTTCTATTGGTTAATCAAGTTACTTAAACTAAGTGAGAAATCCAAAGTAAGTCACTCCTTTTGTGTGCATTTCATGGCAAATATGTGTCATTTCTTTGAATCTTTAAGTGAAAAGTCAAGTTGCTGGAATGTATCTTGCCGTTAAGATAGCGTGAAAAGGGAACTGAGTCTCCCCATATTTGTGTTCTCAGATGATGGGTGGCGTTCTAGCAAGGATTTATAGACTTCTAGGAAGCAATCCTGTTTTCACATGTTCACCATTTGCTACTTTCCCAAATGTGTCTCACCGTGTTCGAAAGTCTGGATAATCTTTTCTAATTGACAGATGGCGTCTTTCCATGCAAATACTTTTGTAAATCATCATAGGAAGCAATAGGAAATAAAGCTTTTTTTTTTTTTAAAGGTTATGACAAGTTCTGGTTGACTCTGAATGGTGGGACACCCTCAGTCTCTTACACTCCTCTAGTCTGGTTATTTAAGTCATGAGTCACTTAAAGCCACTTGAAAACGTTTTGCTCATTCTACATTTTCACAATTACCATTTGATGCTGTGTGTCATGTGTTGGCAAGTTACAGGGAAGGAAGTTAAATAAATCCACTGGATGCTTCAT